GTGTCGGACATATGGTATGGTGCGCGCGTTACCTAGAATCTAGCCTGCCCCTTTCTCTCTCTCTCTCTCTCTTTCCCTCTCCCGCCTCCGTCTCGAATTTCGTCCCACTCCCCATTTTCAGGAGAGGCCAAGCGTACCCCAGACCAGACGTACCTCGTAGACGTGGATCTCAGGGCCCTCCTCGGGACGCCCAAACTCTGGGCGTTGACCTCTTACCATGGTTGAAACCGTGGCCGCTGCGACACCTCACTAGGGGTACGGCAGGTTCGTGCCGTGTTGACGCGGTGGCGACCCCGCCGCTGGCCTTGTTGAATCCCGTCAGCGGCCCAGAATTGGCCAATATGGAACGATCTGGCGATCGGAAAGCCGCCGCTAGTTCAAGATTGACAGATCCACGCGGTGTAAGGAACCACTGACGGGGTCGTCACGACACGAATTTGCCGTGCGTCGTCCTGGGGGCATGTTTGGACCTTTCCGACTTTTCTGTGCTTTCCTCAGCGGCGAGCGCACTGGGGGCGGAGTGAGGGGGGCAGGCTTTCTCGGAAGGCGGCGGAGCTTCTCACAAGTCCTTGCGCCTTCTGAGAAGCCGTCTGTAGATTTTGGAGAGGGCTTGCAATGTTTCTCAGAAGGCGCTAGGGCTTCTGAGAGGCCCCTTCGCCTTCTGAGAAGACCTGCCCCTCTCACTTCCTTCCTGGGCTCGACCTCTCGGACGCTCAGTGGTATTTGCGCCATCATTCGGCTCTCTGGCGGTCGTCCGGGACGATCTGGGCACCCCCGGAACGCCTTCTGTGAGGCGCAGCTGCTGGAGACCATCCCGCTCGTGGCCGAAAAAAACTTCTGGGGGCCGACGAGAACGTGAGTGGTGTCGACCTTCCCGCGGCACGAACGAAATGGGTACGGAAAGAATGGGTACAATGCCCAACAGGAGTTCCTGTTCATTTAGAACAGGACTCGCTTTCCGTGCCGCCGCGGCCTGTGTCCACTCGAGACAGAAGGCCGCCTCCCCAACAGCGGCCGCTGTTGGTTTGCGACAGCATTTGTTGTTGGGCATTGTGCCCATCTTTTCCGCACCCCTTTCGGGCGTCCAGATTCCCCCTCGAGCTTCCCCCCTGGGGTTCGCCGCCGATCTCTTCCCACCTCCCGCCTTCCCACTTCCGCGCCGGCCTGCGGCCACGCCCGCGCAGACAGCCTTGCGTCGGGCCTCGGGGTGCTGGTGCGCCTCCCCTTCGAGCTGAGCGCCTGCCTCGCGGCACTCCGGGGGGGGGGCCGGGGCTGGGGCCGCGCTCGGGCGAGCCTGAGCACGACGTGTTTCGACGGCGCGCCGAGAGGGGAGGACGCGTCTCGGCGGCGCGCCGAGAGGGGAGGCGAGCGCCGAAGAGGAGCCGACGGCACACACAGGCTCCTCGGAGGCCTGCGCGGACCTCCCGGGAGCGGCGCCGGGGCCGCCGCGCGCCGGGGAGGGCGGCGCCGCACGGATGCAGGAGCTCCGCGCGCACCTGCGAAGGTTCGGTCTCGTGCCGCGTCCTGGGTGTCCCCCGCCCGCCCGGGAGGGGGCACGCCTTCTCTCCCAGGTCGGCGGGGCGTCGAAGAGGGCTCGGGAGCCCTGCCGGGAGGCCGAAGGCCTGCCGAGGAGGCCTGCCCCTCTCTGCCGATGGGCTTGTTTTCCACCACCACCACCACCATAAGATGAAGGGGGGAGGAGGAGGAGGAGGAGGAGGAGGAGGAGGAGGAGGAGGAGGAGGAGGAGGAGGAGGAGGAGGAGAGGAGGAGGAGGAGGAGGAGGAGGAGGAGGAGGAGGAGGAGGAGGAGGAGGAGGAGGAGGAGGAGAGAGGAGGAGGAGGAGGAGAGAGGAGGAGGAGGAGGGAGGAGGAGGAGGAGGAGGAGAGAGGAGGAGGAGGAGGAGGAGGAGGAGGAGGAGGAGGAGGAGGAGAGGAGGAGGAGGAGGAGGAGGAGGAGGAGGAGGAGGAGGAGGAGGAGGAGGAGGAGGAGGAGGAGGAGGAGGAGGAGGAGGAGGAGGAGGAGGGGAGGAGGAGGGGGGAGGCGAGGAGGGGGGGAGGAGGAGGCGGAGGAGGAGGCGGAGGCGGCGGCGGCGGCGGAGGCGGAGGCGGAAGCGGAAGCGGAGGCGGAGGCGGAGGCGGAGGCGGAGGCGGAGGCGGAGGCGGAGGCGGAGGAGGAGGAGGAGGAGGAGGAGGAGGAGGAGGAGGAGGAGGAGTAGGAGGAGAAGGAGGACCCCCTCCCCCTCCAACGTATGGTGGTGGTGGTGGTGGTGGTGGTGGTGGCGAGAGCTCCCACATCCACCGCCACTGGCCTGGAGCGGCGAGTTCTATATGAACCCCTATATGAACTGCCACATCCGCCGACCCCTATATGAACTGCTGCGCCTCCAGGGCTGCGTTTCACGAGGCTTGTCCGAATCATGACATGTCGCTCGACATCGTTCCTGTGGCTTCGTTGCTGTTATCGTACCTCTTGGTGATCTTTTGTCCACCGCCACTGGCCTGGAGCGGTGGGCATGTAGAGATTTACGTCGGGCATGTCCCTCTACAGGAGGAATACTCCCAAACAGTAAAGCAATAGCCTGTGGACGTTGTGTTTGTTTTTTGTTGTTTGTTTTCTGTTGTTCTGCATTATTATTGACTACTTGTGAGTCTGATTTCAATGATGCTTCATTTATCCTCCAACATCCGCCTGTAGGAGGACATGCCCCGCTCTCGCCGCCCTCTGACGTGCCGCCTCGGCAGTGCGAAATGCGAGCCTCGTATTTCGCGCGAGCGTTCGAGCCACTGAGGCCTGTTCTGTATTCCAATGGAGACCCATGCCAATAACACCCTGCTCGCCTCCAGGGTGACCTGGGTTTCTTGGGTTTCGAGGGTTTTGCTGTGGAAATCGTGACGTTCCCACACCAGAACTCAATGGACGTCCTGGGGTCTCAGGGTTGGGTCTCTTGTGGAAGGTTTCTGTTGGTCGGGCCCCTACTGAGTAGAGTTTCAGAGTGAGTGCGAGCCAGGCGGAGAGCTCCGCAGCCCTGCGTGCCAGATCCGTGTACCTCAGCCTGGCTGGGGAGCAGGAGTCCAGCAGCCTTCATCCGGACCCCAGGGGTGCAGCAGAAGGATGACCGATTGTCCACGTCGGTAGTCTGGCTGGGGCTTGAAGGAGTTCAACTGTCGCCTAGTCCCGAATTGAATGTTGTCTTCGAACTACTACCGCGACTCATAGTTACGACAGAAGAACATCGCGGCACTGCGTCAAGGACATTCTGAAGCACTGCCCCCCGCTCGAGGCGGAAGCCGGCAACCCAACTTACGTTGGATTGCAGTTGCCCATGTCCACACAGGAGGGAGGTCTTAATAGGCGGCATACAGATGTTCAGCGTGAGTTTTTGCCTCCAGTAGCCAGGCGGGATCGGTCTCACGGCATGGGCAGCGTCTCTGGTCATGTACGGTCCCCGTGCTTTATTACATTCATTCAGCTTTTCCAAACGGTGTCCACTGTATTCTGATAGGTTGTTCAATGGGTGCTTGTTGCATTGTATGCGGAAGTATGCCTGACCGTAACCCGATCGATTCTCTAGGAGGGTGCGATGTATCACGTTGTCGAGTCGAGCAGACAATGGTATGTTAGAGCATCGTGGCGTCACGTCGGGTATATCAGACTCGGGCCGCCAGCCTGGCGAGGCCGGGGACGAATGGGGAGGCAGAGCTGCTCGCCCTGCTGACTCTGAAGGCCAGCCCCGCTCGAGGGAGGCTCGAGGATCGAGGATCGAGGCTCCAGGGTCGAGGTTCCCGGATCGAGGTTCTAGGGTCGAGGTTCTAGCGTCAAGATTCAAGGATCGAGATTCTAGGGTCGAGGTTCTAGGGTCGAGGTTCTAGGATCGAGGTTCGAAGGTCGAGTTTTGCTATCCGTGGGCGAACCGTCCGCGAAATTGTGCGGCTCGACGGGGCCACGGATGCAGACGGAGCGCCGAGCCGTGCCTCCTCTTCCTCCCTCCTCCCTCCTCCCTCCTCCCTCCTCCCTCCTCCCTCCTCCCTCCTCTTCCTCCTCCTCCTCCACCTCCTCCTCCTCCTCCTCGTTCTCTCCTTCCATTTTCTGGAGAGCTTCGCAGGGCTTGGGGTGGCCCTCGGAAGGGCACGAAGTAGCCCTGGAGCGCGCGCGTGTGTGTGTGTGTGTTGTGTGTGTGTGTGTGTGTGTGTTGTGTGTTGTTGTGTGTGCGCTCGCAGGAAGAGCGAGCAGTGGCAGCCAGCTCTGACGCTGCTCAGCGAGATGCGGCAGGCAGCGCTGGAGTCAAACGTAATCAGCTGCAGCGCTGGCATCAGCGCGTGCGGGAAGAGTGAGCAGTGGCAGCGGGCTGTTGCTGCTCGGTGCGGGAGGCAGAGCTCGCGCCCCATGCTATCAGTTACAGAGCTGGGATCAGCGCGTGCCAGAAGGGCGAGCAGGGGCAGTGGGCTCCGGCACTGCTCAGGGAGATGCTGGCGGCGAAGCTGGCGCCTGACGTCATCAGCTGCAACTCTGGGATGAATGCGTGCGAGGACTGCGAGCAGTAGCGGGCTCTGGCGCTACTCAACAAGAAGTGGGAGGCGAAGCTGAATCCCAGCGTCATCAGCACAACGCTGGGATCAGCGCGTGTGAAAAGGACGATCAATGGCAGCTGGCTCTGGCCCTGCTCAGCGAGATTCGAGAGACTACGCTGGAGCCCGACGTCATCAGCGACAACGCTGGGCTCAGCGCCTCTGACTGACGCCGATGCCAACGCCGATGCCGACGCCGACGATACCGCCGACGCCGACGCCGACGCCGACGCCGACTCGACGCTGACGACGCACTCGCCGACGCCGACGACTCCGACGAAACGGCAGCTGCCACCGCCGCTCGGGGTGCAGTTCTGTTCTGAGCGGCCCCGCATGTGCCCGTGCACCTGCTCGGCACTACCCCCCATCCGGTTGGGCCGTCCAGGGCCCGCCGGTCTTTCGCCCTGTCTTTTGCCCGCGCGCTTGGCCGCGGTCGCCACTGGCTGCTGCCTGCGCCTTCGCGCCTTCCTCCTCCCCAGCGCCTCGCCTGGCGGCCCTCCCCTCTGGGGTCGTCTGTTCCCTGCCCTGTGCTGCTGCACCTGTTCGGTGCCTACTCTTCGCCTCTCACTGCGCCCGTTGGTGCTACCCCCCGCGCGCACTCGGCCCTCACGGGTGGCGCTCCTGCATTCTTCGTGCTCGGCCCCCCTGCCCCTCCGCCTCGGGGCCACCGGTCCTCCGGTGCCCACGCGCGCGAGCGCGCTGCGCTGCTCGCGCCTTTTCCTGCCGGCGGTGGCCGCTGCGTTTGCCCTCCGGCGTGCTGGTGCTGCCGCTCGCTGTGGGCTCCCGCGCGCCGCCTCCTCGCTAATCCTTGGAACTGCCGCCCCGGCTTCTGTCCGGGTGGAGGCCCCTGCCCCGCCGTCGCGTCCCCTGTCTGCCTGGCCCTCCCGGTTCCGGGGGCTGGCTGGCCTTGCCCGCCCCTCGGGCCGGCCCCTCCTCTGCTTGGTTTTCAGGCCGGCTTGCGGTCCTCGTGCCGGCTTCGCTGGTGGGCCTGCTCGCCCGCTGCTCCGCCCCCCCGCGGTCCTTCACCACAGGGTACCTGGGCCGCCCGCCATCTGGCGCCTCGCAGGTCCATGGACCTCGGCGCTTCTTCTCGCTCTGCCTGCTGGGCCTTTCCCAGCTACCCCCCAGCCCCTCCCCTGAGGTGGTCTTCTCCAGCTGCTCTGTCGCTTGGAAGGTCGGCTCGATCTTGGCGCGCGGCCGCCTTCCTGTGCTGTCCGTCCCCAGCACTGACTGGGCCTGATCCTTCCCCGCCTCGTGCGGCTGCCCTGGCTGCTGCCCGCCCCCAGCTGCCCCGCGGCTGCCGCCCTGCCGCCCCAGCGCCGCCCGTGCCGCGGCCTGGCCCCGCTCTGAGCGGGCCTGGCTTCCGTCTCCCTCCCGCCCGCGCCCGGTCTTCCCCCTTTTCCTCACGCGCATCGCGGCTTAATTAGTAATTGTGTGCCCTACATTTGCCCTATCCGCCAGCGCAGTCACTCTGCCTAGCCGCCGACGCAAAAAGTGTGTGTGTGTATATATATATATGTGTGTGTGTGTGTGTGTGTGTGTGTGCGTGTGTGTGTGCGTGTGTGTGTGCGTGCGCGTGCGCGTGCGTGTGCGTGTGCGTGTGCGTGTGCGTGTGCGTGTGCGTGTGTCGTTGTGCGTGTGTGTGTGTGTGTGTGTGTGTGTGTGTGTGTGTGTGTGTGTGTGTGTGTGTGTGAAGCTGTTGCGTGTGCGTGTGCGTGTGCGTGTGCGTGTGCGCGTGGGCAGTGCGTGTGCGTGCGGTGCTAGGCGGTGCGGTGCGTGCGTGCGCTGCGTGCGTGCGTGCGCGGTGTGTGTGTGTGTGTGTGTGTGTGTGTGTGGGTGTCGTCGTGCGTGCGTGCGTGCGTGCGTGCGTAGCGTGCGTGCGTGCGTGCGGCGTGCGTGCGTGCGTGCGTGCGTGCGTCTCTTGTCGCCGCGCGCGAGTGTGCTGTGTGGTTGTGTGTGTGTGTGTGTGTGTGGGTGTGCGTGCTGTGCGTGCGTGCGGGCGTGGCGCGTGTATCCGTGCGTGAGTGCGTGTGTGGGCGTGCGGCGTGTGGGCTCGTGAGTTTGCGTGCGTGGTGCGTGGTGGCGTGCGGGCGTGGCGTGCGTGCGTGGTGCGTGCGTGCGTGCGTGTGTGTGTGTCTGGTGTGTGTGTGTGTGTGTGTGCTTGTGTGTGTGTTGGTGTGTGCGCGTTCGTTCGCGCGCGCGTGTGCGTGTGTGTGTGTGTGTGTGTGTGTGTGTGTGTGTGTGTGTCGGTCTTGTTGTCCCCTCGACGCCTGTTTCATCTCACCGTCTGCCTTGGGCGGGCTGTCTGCCTGATGCTCTCCCTGTCTTTCGGAGTGCCGTTGCACATTTGCGCTGCGCCCATCTTGCTTCTTGTGCTGCGCACCTCCGTTTGCTGGCGCTCTCCCCCTCCCCTCTCCCCCCTCGCGGCCCACCCAAGTGACCTGGTTGATCCTTATGGGCAGATCCTTGATCCCCGCGCCGCGTGATTTGGCCTGGCCGCGCGCGTTTTCCGGCTCGACTGCCTGTGCCGCGCCGCCGCGCGCGTGGCCGCAACGCCAATAACTAGATATATTATATATATATATATTATATATATATATTATATATATATTATATATATAATAATATATCTGCTCGGTCCCCCCCCCCCAGCGACCCCCCAAAACGCCCAAAACAGAAGCCGCGCGGGTTTGAGATGATGGCACCGAAACAGCTGCAGACACCCCTGGAGTCTGCAGCGCGTCACAGCGGGCTGTGACCCGAGAAGTATTCCTCCTCATCTTACTCTCCCTCATCCTCCCCCTCCTCTTCCATTTCCCCCCTCGCCTCCTGCTTCTCCTGTTCCTCGTCCTCCTCCTCCCTCCTCCCTCGTCCTCCACCTTCTGTTTTTCCTCCTGGTCCTCTCCCCTGTTGGAGAACGTTCGGAGCAGAAGGTTGACGGGGGGCAAACCGTAGCAACGAAATGTTCCAAGACTTGAATGATTCCCTTCGTGTCCCCTGTTGTCCCCTCGTGTCCCCCTCCGTGTCCACTGTTGTTCCCTCGTGTCACTCTCGTGTTCCCCTTGTGTATGTTCCCCTCGTTGTCCCCCTCGCGTCCCCCTTCGTTTTTTTTTGATCCCCCTCGTAGGTCCCTTGTGCCCCTGATGTTCCCCTAGTGTGTCACCAGGTTTTTCTGGTTTTCTGGGCTATGGGGAACAAAACGAAAAACCATGGTGTATTACAGGTTTTTCTGGTTTTCAGGTGCCGACAAACAGGAGGTGGGGGAGCGGTGGGGCGAGGCCGCGGCGATCATTTCAGCTCCAGAAACCAGGAAAACCAGAAAAACATGTGATACACAGTGTTTCGTTGGTTCCCAGACCAGAAAAACCAGAAAAACATGTGATACACAGTGTTTTCTTGCTCGGAGGCCACGAAACATTGTGTATCACATGTTTTTTTCGGGTTTTCCTCGTCTGGGAACCAACGAAACACTGTGTATCACATGTTTTTCTGGTTTTTCTGGTTTTCAGGCGCCGACAAACAGGAGGTGGGGTGCGGTGGGGCGAGGCGCGGCGAGCATTTCAGCTCCAGAAGCCAGGAAAACCAGAACAACCTGTGATACAAAGTGTTTCGTTGGTTCCCCCCGCTCCCACCTCCCTCTCCAGACCAGAAATAACCAGAAAAAACATGTATACACCATGGTTTTCTTGCTCGGAGGCCACGAAACCACTGTGTATCACATGTTTTTCTGGTTTTTCTGGTCTGGGAACCAACGAAACACTGTGTATCACAGGTTTTTCTGGTTTTTCTGGTTTTTCAGGCGCCGACAAACAGGAGGGGGGGTGCGGTGGGGCGAGGCCGCGGCGAGCATTTCAGCTCCAGAAACAAGAAAAACCAGAAAAACCTGTGATACACAATGTTTCGTTGGTTCCCAGACCAGAAAAACTAGAACAACCTGTGATACACAGTGTTTTCTTGCTCGGAGGCCACGAAACACTGTGTATCACATGTTTTTCTGGTTTTCTGGTTTTCAGGTGCCGACAAACAGGAGGGGGGGGCGGTGGGGCGAGGCCGCGGCGAGCATTTCAGCTCCAGAAACCAGAAAAACCAGAAAAACATGTGATACGCAGTGTTTCGTTGGTTCCCAAACCAGAAAAACCAGAAAAACCTGTGATAAACAGTGTTTCGTGGCCTCGGCCGAAACCGATATGCTTGCGCGCACGGTGCCCGTGACGGATGGGCCGAGCGGATGAGTTCGTCAGCCTGGATGGCAGGTCGAAGTTGAGTTGCGCATTCGTGCTTTGGGCGCTCTGGGGGGTCGCTGGGGGGGATCCACCATATATATATATATATATATATATTATATGTATATTATATTATATATATATCTATATATATATATATATAGTATATATATATATCATATATATATATTATATATAATATGGTGTGTGTGTGTGTGTGCTTGTGTGTGTGTGTGTGTTGTGTGTGTGTTGTGTGTGTGTTGTGTTGTCTGGGGTCTGGTCCTCGCGTCGATGCGCTCTTTCATTGGCATACAGTTCGTCCGTTTTAGCTACCCCGCACTTTCTCCCACTGGCATCCCCGCCGCATGGCTGGAGGCGGAGTCCCCCATTTTTGCGCCGAAGCCAGCCCTCGGGCCGCGGAGGGCCTACTTCCGCCGCAGCCCTGCTCGGGAGAAGGAGGCCAGTGACCCGGCGGAGAGCTCGGCAGAATCCGCCCGCCCGGCTTCCGGATCTGGCCTGGCCCCCCAGGTGGTCGTCTTTCGCCTGAGCACTTCCAACCGAAAGATTTAAGAGCTTTTCCCAACTCGACTCGGGCAACTTCACGCAGGGTAAGGCGGAGGAGGATGGAGCTTCGTCCCCATGACCTGCAGACCGCCCTCAACCGCGTTTTTATCCAGAAAGGTAAGCGCACTCAGGGTGACGCTGCAGCTTACTCTGACGAAGTGTTCACTTGTTTCCTGGAGCGCGCCTGCGGCTACAAACACAAGGGCAAGGCGCATCTGGCCACCGCCATCCCATCCTCTGGCTGCCCAAACGGGTACGACCCCGCCACCGCGTACCCAGACGCGGCGCTGCTTCGAAAGTTGTCGGGTATTCGTAGGGCGGCCGGGCAGTCCGACATCTGGCGGGAATTCCTAGGCCTTCGGTCGGACCCCAAGGATTTTCCTACCACGCCGACCCCAACCTCGCGCCCCAGCCTCGCTGCAGCCGGCGCCGCCCCGCGCCCCAGACTCGCTGCAGCCGGCGGGAGCAGGGCTGCGTCGGCTGGCCGGTCGCCTGACCAGGCCCTCCACTACCGCCGCGTGTGGCATGGTCCGGCCGATAGCCCACAGGACGCCTCCCCCGCCCCACCGCCGACCAGAGGCCGGGGGGGCGTACCAACTCCGACGTGACCTGCACGGGCCAGAAGGCCCCCCAGCCATCGGACGCCGTCAGGGGCACCGCGCCGGCACCCCAGACGACGGGACGTCACCGTCCCCCCAGGCCCCGACCTGCAAGGCCCGTGGCTGGAGGCCGTCCTCGCCGAAGTCCGCTTCCCAGCGCGAGGATCGCCCGCCCGCGCACGCGAGGTCGCGCGACTCTGCCAGGCCATTCGCAGGCGCGCCTGTCCGGCAGCCCTGTGCCCCGCCCCACAGGCAGCGCCCCCCGCCTTGGCCCTGGTGCTGCTGGCTCGGGGGCGCCAACCGGCAAGGGTGCCGGCTCTGCAGGAGCCATCGGCGGACGCCGCCCCAACGCCCCTGCAGGCGCGTCCTCTGGCAGTGTGCCCTCTGCCAAACGTGCCGCTCCCACCCCTGTTCCCGCCCTCGCCCTCTGGGGCCCGGCTATGGGTCCTGCCCAGCCAGGCCTTCTCGTTCGGCTGAACGCCATGCGGGCCTTTGGTGTTCCGGCTGCCGGCCAGGGTGCTCTCGCACGGCGGGACTGGACCCGCGACAACGGGCCCGCGATGGTCGGCTCCGCCCTCCTCGTACCCCCATGCCTCCTCCGTCGACCAGCTCAGCTCCTTCATCTCGGGAGTGGGAGCCGCGTGCGAGGCTGCGGCCGCCAGAAACTGTGTGCGTGTGTGTTTGGCCGTCGCTGCCCTGGGCCTCCTCTCCCCGGCGCTCTCCTCCCTGGGCGGCTGGCCCCCCCTGCCGCTGCCTGGCCGCTGCCGCGCCTCGCGCCGCCGCCGCTCCGCCCCCGCGGGCCGCCCTCCGCCGCTCGCCGCCGCGGGCCGCCCCCCGTCCGCCCCTCCTGCCTTCGCCCCGCGAGGGCCCTCCGCCCGCTCGGGAGGCCGGCCCTGGCCGTCCCGCGGGGGCCGCCCTCTCGGCCGCCGCCGCGTTCGGCGCCGCGCCCGGCCTCGCCGGCGCTTCGCTGCCTTGGGATCGGCCTGCGGGCGCTCGGAGCACGTCGCCCCGCCTCTGCTTCTTCGTCGGCAGCGCCCCGGCATGCTAAAAGCTGCGTGTGCGTCGCCCCCCCCCCCCCCCCCAGGGGGCGACGCGGGCACCGCGAGATCTCACAGTCGAGGTGTCGTGGCGGGCGCTTTCTGGCCACACCGCTCCGGAAACGATACACCGAGAGTGGTTGTACTGTATGTTCGGGCCGGACGCGCGCCTCCGAGGAGGACATATAGTACTCGTATGTTCTTGCGCGTTCCATTTCAGGTCGTCCGTGACCTCCTTGTCGCTCTGGTCTGCTTCCTCGCTCCCCCCGCCTTCCAGTCCCGGTTGGCTTGTGGCACCTTCAACTTCACCGTGGTCTCGTCCATCCACTGCTCCCCTCCGCCATCCACGGCGGGATGGCTATGGCTGCAGGCGGCTGCGAGACCCTGATTGGTCCCTGAGTGCTCGGGAGGGCTCAGACGCGCGCGCACCATGTGCAGGTCTCCGACCTTCTACGCCCTGTCGCTGCGCGCAGGGCCGCGACGCCATAAGTGTGTGTGTGTGTGTGTGTGTGTGTGTGTGTGTGTGTGTGTGTGCGCGTGTATGTGTGTGTGTGTGTGTGTGTGTGTGTGTGTGTGTGTGTGTGTATGTGTGTGTGTGTGTGCGTGTGTGCGTAAGTGCGTGTGTGCGTGTGTACGTGCGTGTGTGCGTGCGTGTGTGCGTGCGTGCGTGCGTGCGTGCGTGCGTACGGCGTCCTGGGCAAAATGCACTCCAGTTTCGTCCAAAACATTGTGACCGCCCGTGTCGGCGCGCTGGGAACTGCGGAGAAGAAAAGTCACGGCGACTTTTTGCACATGCTCTTGAACTGGAGTGGGCAGCGTCTGATGCGCAGGGTCGGCTGTGTGATTGCTTTGTGGCTACGTTATTTCCAGGAGCGAACCTCTACAGATGTCTGTAACGAAGCGGAACAGGCTGCAATGCCAGGAACGCGTCGCGGAGAGCATGGTGGCACATATAATGTGCCTTGGGACCCAGTCTTGAAAATAATGATGTGCTCCCAGGGCGAACTGAGTCAGTCAATACCTCCTTGGGTTCGTTTGCATTCACGGTTGGCCTCAACCGTCTTGGGGTTCTGTTCCCACGATTCAACGGCTTTCGGATTGGCGCACAATTGCGAGGCATTCCTACGTAGTGGGTTGAGTGCGGTCCAGAAGGAGAGCACTAGTGGGGACGCCCTAGAGATCCTGTTAGTTGGTCCTTGTGAAGCCTTGAGAGGATCTTGGGAGGTTTGGAGATATTGAAAGAGGCCCTTCTGGGACCCCCCTCCGTCCAACAGAGCTCCCGGTGGACCCCAGTGGGGTTCCTACAGAGGCGCACCAAGGGCGTCCACGATGAGTCGGAGGCCGAAAAGCTTGCTTTCTTCTGCGCCTTGTGTTGAATGAAGTTAAGTGGGTTTCACGCGCCTTGGGAGGCCAGCTGACTTCTGATTCCTCGTGCGAATTCCAATGAATTAGTGGTTGCGATGCCAGTATTTGAGGTTGGATGTTTGGTCCAGTCCAGGGTGCCCAGAGGTGAGCGTCTTGCTGGGTTCTGTGGGGGCTTAGGATGTTGGTAGAGCTGGTTCTACGTTTCGCGGCTTTGGAAGGGGCTGGTGAGAGGGGAGACGCAGGGAAAGCAGAGCAGGGACGGAGGGAGGGCGGAGAGAGATCGTAGGACACTGGAGGGAGGAGGGGGAGGAGGAGGAGGAGCAGTCCGGGGTCCGAACAGAAAGCGTGCTCGTGATCTGAGAACGTGGCACTCCGCGCCCGCAAGGTGGACTCTGGCGTTGAGCCCCTGAGGCCACCGAGGACATCGCCAGCCAACCTGCAGGATGAAGATCATCCGCTGGCGGGGCCGGGGAGTTCCCCGAGCACGATGGCGACATGCGCGCACAGAGGGCACGACACGATCGTGCACGTGCTCAGAGTTGGTTCCTGCGCCTCGAGCCCTTGCCAGGGCCCCAAAGGGGAGGGTCTACGTGCGTCCGCCCCACCAATGTCGGCGCACGCCTCATCGTTTCGTGACCCCATGCGGAGATCCGCCGAAGACGGTTCTCACAATGGCGTTACTCATACGTGCATCTGGCTGGGCCTCGCGCCAGCAGAGTTTACTGCCCCGTGGTCCATGGCCCCGCTGGGCCGAGCCCAGCATCACGTGAGCCTGGTGGGCCCGCTGTGTGTCGGTGCCCTCGCAAGAGTGCCGGGCCCAATCTAGTCGCACTGCGGGCCCAGAGCATGCCCCCGCCAGGTGTCTCCTCCGCGTTCCTCCTGGCCCCTTCTTCTGGCTGGCCCGTGAAGAGGGGGCCGCGTCGCGTGGATTCTGGTCGGGGGGAGCGGGGAGGTCGGGCACAGGACGAACGTGCCCCGAGAGTCCCCACTGGGAGTTGCGGATCAGGACGTGGGCGGCGAGGTGGGCGAAGGTGTGGGGGATGGATGCGCTTTCCAACTCCCCAGCGGCACTCCGTGTCTTTTTTACACGCCGGTCGTTGAAAGTAGGTATTTTTGGATTCCCAGATCCCAATCTACTTCAAGCGCCTTCCTGCTTCAAGAATCGGCACGCTTTTGCTGTGTTTTTGCTATTCTCTTGGAGGACCTGGACCCAATCCACTACATCCGCCTTCCTACTTCATGTTTCTACCTACTTCTTCCGACCGACGTGTGCGCTGTCCCCACTGTCCTCCCATGGCTTTGCCTCTGTATACCCAGGCCTGCGGGTGCTCCGTTTTCTGCAGCGCCCGCGCCGGTTTCAGGGCCCCTCGTGCACTGTCTGCCTCGCGACAGTCTACCTGGCGCACGGGCTTCGCAGTGTCGCGCGCATATGCTTCGCAATGTCTCGGGGGAGCGTAAGACCCGGGTTTGCCAGGACTCGGGTTCGTCATCGTTTTTTGACGACCGCGCCTCGGATTTAGACGAGGAGGAGTTTCGTGGGATGTCTGCAGCGGGAGGCCTCGTCAAAATGCAGGCTCGGCCTCGTCATTTTTTTGACCTCGTCGGGGATTTCCGAGTCCCCTGTACCCAGGTCTTACGTCCCCCTGAATGTCGTGCACAGGGACAGTCGTGCACAGGCTTTGGCAATGTCTATCTCGCGGTCGGTATCCACTCAGCAGTGCTCCTACCGTGCATCTTCTCCCCCACCGCCCGTCCAGCCTCGGGGAAGGGGAGCGCAGGGGACGCTGTACATGTCGTGCCAGCCGTTCCTGCCCGTTTTCCAGCGGTCGATCTGCGAGGGGATCCGCTCCTGCCGCGACGGGCTTTGGGACTCTTATGAGTCTCAGGCCAAGGATGTTCAGCGTGCTGCTCGCAGCTCCGCACCTATCGGCGGCGAGCCCAGGGGGGAATTGAGAGGGGGCACGCCTTCTTAGAGGGCGGCGGGGCTTCTCAGAAGCCCTCGCGCCTTCTGAGAAGCCGTCTTTGGCCTTCTCCGAGTCCGAGAAGGCCCGAGCCTGGCTCTCCTGGTTGCGGGGAGTCTCACGGGGCACCGGTTCTTGACTTCCAGCGGATTTGGGGTTGCATCCTCATCGCGCTGCCTGGACCCTGCTGAGACGGCGCACAACCGCACGGGTTGCTCATACTTTGCATGTGTGTGTGTATACGTAAACATGCGTCTGTATGGGTCGAGACAGGAGCTTAAACTCATGAATTTGTGGTTGTGTGTGTAGGTGTGTGCCTCAGGGGCTTAGGGTGGCCCGCGAGCGCAGTAGAGCGTACGCGTTCAACGCCAGGGCATTGGGCTCCATTTGATATCTGGTGTCCTCGAGGGCCAGTAGGTGCTGGCAGGAGACGATCTCCTGTCGCCTCGGCCGGTTCGCTGCACACGGCTGGGTGTAGCAACACCATCGGCATTCCGAGCCGGGGGCGTACCCTTCACGCTGCGAGTGGAGTGTGCTGCGCTTCCCCGCCAGAACCCGCAGTATAATGTAAGCATCGTCGCGCACATCTACGGTATCGTCGGGTACAACGTCGTCGCACCTCATAACAAAACTGTTATGGGCCTCAGGATCATGGCGAGTCCCATGACTCGGAATGTGTGTGTGTGTGTGTGTGTGTTCATATTTCTCGCCCATGTATTCTCCCTTTCTTTCTCTATTTCTTCTCATCCTCGCACATCAAATAGTCTTCGGCCCATCCCGTCACCGTGCCTGGATTGTGGGTCGGAGTCCTCAGGGATGCTTCTTGGGGTCTCTTTGGAGCACTCTCGGGGCCTCTCGGGGGCAGTTTCGGGCCCTCTTGGGAGCTTCTTGGGGGCCTCTTAGGAGCCTCTTGCGGGTCTGTCGGGGTTTTCTGGGGGCCCCTTGGGGGCCTCTCGGGGGGCTCCTTGGGGGCCTCTCGGGGGCCTCCTGGGAGCCTCCCGGCCGAGGGCTTGAAGTGTCCGTTCGGGTCCCCCCGGTCTGGGTCCCATCTTGGAGCCGTTGTTGGGGCCTCTTGGACCGTCTCGGGGCCCTCTTGGGCCGCCGCGGGGCCCTCTTGGGCCGTTGTGGGGCCCTCTTGGGCCGTCTTGAGGCGATCTTGGGGGCCTCTTGGGTCGGCTTGGAGCGTCAGAAGCTCGGAAGGGCGAGTGCTCCAAAACCATCGAAAACCTCAGGGTAATCAATGATTTTGCCTCTGGGCCCTCTTGGGGCACCTCTTGGGACTCTCGTGGGGCCTCTCGGAGGCTTGCTTGGAGGTCTTGGGGCCATCTTGGGCGTCTTGGACCGATCACGCGGCGATTCGTGGCCCTCTTGGACCCGCTTGGCGGCCTCTTGGGGCTCTCTTCGCATGTCTTGTGGCACTCCTGGGCCCGCCGCGACACGCCGCGACGGGCCGCCCCTAGCGCCAGAAGATTTTTGCGATTTGGGAATTTTGGGTCCAGCCCGCTCAACGAATCTTCAGGATTGAGGACTGAAGCTTGAGGGATCAGGCTTACGACCTAAGTACGCGCAAACTCGTGCCTCAGGGCGTGGTGGCAGAGCATACTTTGATGCACAAGTTTTAGCGCATGTATATATATGATATGTGTACACGCATATAAACATACACATATGTATATACACATACATGCAGGAATGCATGTATGCATGCATACAATCATACATGCACACATACATACACACATGAATCCATGCATACATACATGCATACATGCATACATACACACAAACATGCGTACATGCATTCGTACGTTCATGTGTACATACTGCAACCATACATACCTTCACACATACACTCATACATACATACATGCATACACACATACATGCATACATACAAACATACATTTCAGCGTACATTCATTGTAACCTGTGTACATACATACATACATGTAGACATACATACACATACCTACAATGTAGACCCATGCACATACTCATGCACATGCACATGCACATACGCATACACATACATACACACATACAATAACACGCACACTACATACTCACACATACATACAAGCATACATACAGAAATACACCTACACACATACACCCATACACACGTACACACGTACACATGCACACACATACATCCATACGCACATGCATGTATGCATGCATCCATACATACATCAAATCATGTATACACACATACATACATACGTACATGTGCATACAAACATACAAACACACATATGCACATTCATACATACATGCACTCACGCATGCACACATACACAAATACACACATACATGCATACATAAATACACACGTACGTACGTACATGCGTAAGTACATACTTCAGTGGGCCCTGGAAACGACAAGGCCGTTTTTTACAAGTTCCGTTTTGCAGTTTTGTTGCTGGTTCCGACGCCGTTTTATTACCGGTTCCGTCGCCGTTTTTTTTTACCGGTTCCGGCTCCAGTTTCATTCCGTGGGCCGTCTTTTTTGCCGTTTTTGGTCGTCGTTTTTTTGTCATTTCCATTTCAAGAGGCGCTTTTTCGGAAACGGTGAAAAGACGGCCCTGCCGTTTCCAGGGCCCGTTAAGGTACACACATACATACATACATACATATTTGAAGACATACATACACACATACACACATATGTACATATATGCGTACATCCGCCCATACACACATACACACGTACATACATACATGCATACATACACAGATATACATACGCACATACATACACATTCATATGTACACACGTACATACATACATACATACATACATACATGAAAACCATACATACACACATGCACATACACATGCACACATATGAATACACATACACATACACATGCACATGCACATACACATTCACATACACATACACGTACCCGTTCCCGTACACACATACATACACACATGCCACAACCATACACACATACATGCATACATACATACATACATACATACACGCATACATACACATACTCATACACATACACACATACACACATGCACACGTGCATACATTCACACATACATGTATGCATGCATGCATGCATAACCACTCACACACATGTGCATAGACATATACACACATATCCATACGTACATGCAATCATGTATACACGAATGCATACACACTTGCATCCATGCATATATTGACCTAACTACATACGCATTAATATACACAGACACACATACATACGTACAGTACATACATGCATGCATGCATGCATACATACACACGTGCACACATTCACACACATTTGTCTATACATACACATATATATATATATACTGTGATATATATATACGTATTCGCACTTACATGCATACACGTACGTACGTACGTACATACCTACAGGCATACATACACATACATACGCATATTTTGGATGTGCTTTGCAAGGGATTCTTGCGCCTGTCCGCTGGTACCTTTGCTGAAGTGTCAGGGGCGCGTGGGCTCGCTCACTTCTTGCCCAGCCCTTGAGATCTCCAGACAGGAACCGTCGCGGTGAGGGATGGCCTGCATTGCCTCCGAGTCCTGCGCCGCCAGTGAGGAGCACCAGTGGACGTGTCAGTGGAGAAGAGGTGTGCCGCTGCGTCTCCAGATTGGGCGCCCGCCCACTGGCTTGACCGCTGGTGGGCCGCCGCGCGCCGACTGCCTCACCCTCGACGAGGGGCAGCTTGAGTGGCTGCTGAGCGCCGAGGGCCGCGCGGCACTCCCGCCGATCTGGCGCGGGCTCGAGCGCTGGAGGCGAGGCGCCGGCCCCCGAGCCCCTCGGTGCGCGCCTTGCCAGCGAGCGCGAACGCGGAGGTTGGGGAAGTGCGGGCGCCCTGGCCCGTCCCCTCGGCCGTGGCCGTGGAGGCCCCGCCGATGTCGTTCGGGCACCTCGGCGTGTGCGTGACGGGGACGGCGGGGGTCGACCAGGCTGGCCTCCCGAGGTTCGCCGGCGCCCTTCGCGGACGGGGGCCTGGTGCCCGTCGCGGCCAGGGCGAAGTCGCCGCCTCGGCCGAGGCCCCAGCGGCAGACGGAGGCTCTCCCTCCGCCGCCAGCTACGCCCGGTCAGGCAAGCAACGCCGGGCAGCCCCCAGCGCGCGCCGAGACAGAGGAGGACGACGTGACGATCTATGTGAAGAGCTTCTTCGAGACGCCGGTGGGGCACGACGCGGTCGACATCAGCCTCGGTGCAGGCGTCGCCCACTTCCGCTCGATCGTGGCGACGACCGCCCGGACGCCCAGTGAGGACGGGGTGCTGGCTTTTGGGTCGAGGGTGATCCATGGCGACGGAGCGAACCTCGCGAGTGTGGGGCTCGGCGACGGCAGCACGGTGACGGCGACCCGCCGCCTCCGTGGCGGAGCAGATGGCGATGACGCAGTCGAAGAGCCCGAAACACCGCCCTCGGCGTGGACTTGCCGGGGCTGAGTTCTTCAATTGCGGCATCCCGAATCCGTTCCTCGCGGATGTCGGATCCAGCATCGAGGGCAGCGACGAGTACGATGGGGACGACGAACTGGACAGCGGCGAGGGGGTGCAGCCTGCCGATCACCGGGCGCCTTCCCGTGCAGTTTTGTGACCGCGGGCCCGGCTGCACACTGGGCGGTGGCCTCGCCCGACGGCGAGGTGGAGGGGTCTCACGATGAGGGTCCGACTTCTACTCCGCCCACTGAGGACACCGAGGTTTAGACCGAAGGGGGACCGCCGCAGCCCGGCGGTGCCGGCCCGGTGTGCCGGGATGGGCAGATCGGATGCGGGGGCCAGACGACGCGTTCGAGCCGGATGACGAGAGCGAGCCCGAGGACGAGACGCCCGACGGCGACGTCGAGCTCGCCACTCCCATCAACGGGCGTCCAGGTCCGTGGCGCCGTATCAGCGTTGACGAGCTGATCGCGGGCAGTGGCCAGCCCCCTGGCGGCCCTGGGGGGGCAGCGGTACGCCTGGAGGTGATCCCCGTGCCAGCGCCTTCCAACCAGGACCGCGAGGCGTCGTTCTGATGCGTATGCTGACGGAGACGTTGATGCAGGTGGCGCTGTGCATGAGGTCCAGGTGGATCATCTGGTCCTTGCTGGGCTTGTTGGAGCTGGTCGCCTCGCATCTGGTCACAGCCGCTGAAGCCTCGCACCCGCCGTCGGCGACGCCCGACAGCGCCACCGCTGGTAGACCCCAGGGCCCGTCGAGCCAGGCTCGGGCGCAACGGCGGCGGACGGGCCTGCCGGATGCGTTGCCCCGAGCGGCGTTGCCGTCGACCGCGGGCGCATTCGCGCGATTTTCGCCGGCGAGTTGGTGGCCGCGCTCATCGGAGCGATCCGTGGGGCCCCTATCGGCGGCATCCTGGCCGCGGTCGCCCAGCTTGCCGACGTTCGCCCAAGCCTCAGTGGGCGTGGCGTCGCGTCGTGGAGAGGCGCAGCGTCGGCCAAAGCGTCCGGCCCAGTAGCGGACTGCGCGCGTGGCCCTGGGGCTCATCGTCCTCGTCGTGATCAACGCGGGGCGAGGGCGGCGGACGTGGCGCAGCCCAGGGCAGCCCTGGCTCGTCCCCGCCGCCTTGGGGCCGTGACCAGCTCTGTGGGAGGGGGGTCGAGAGTGGCCGCCTCCCCCCTAAGGTCGCAGGCCGCAGCGGCGGCGCACCTCGCCGTGCAGGGGTCTAGCTTCTCGGTGGGGGCTGGCGGCCTGCGCGGCGCCCCCGGCCCCAGTTGCGGGGAGGGCGTTGAACTCTGTTCCCCTTTTCCTCTGCCGAGGCTCAGTGCCAGCGCTTGCTCGCCCATTCCCTGGGCGACAAGAGTCCAGCTGCCCGCCGCCAGAGACGGGTCGCTCAAGCTGCTACTGATTCTCTGAATTTGTTGCGTCGCCGAGGCGCCGCGGGCAGGCCGCGCCGCGTCGATCACTTGGTGGGGGCGCATGCGCGTGTCCGACGAGCCGTCGAGGAGGCGCTCGCGGAGGGCGCGATCCCTTCAACGTGGGGGGCCTGTCGTTCCCCCCTCAACGGCCGATCAGTCCGCGAGGCCTAGATCGGCGGAAGAAGCATAGGACATCTTCGGCGTGTTCGGCAGATCTCTCTCCCTGACGCAGTGCGCGGTGCCCCGTGGTTAGCCGAGGTTTTGCCCATCTATGCACGCCGTTAATTTGAAGATGACGTGAAGCGAACGCTGCTGCCGCCGCCCGAGCGAGAGGCTCGGTTTGTGGAATCGGGCCTTCGGCCCCGCCGGGGCCCCTCTCTCCTCCGTAGATAGTCGCGAGAAGTACTTGCAGCTGTGGCGCGACTTGCAGCGCCGCGGCCATAGTGTTCTTGGGCGCTGAGGAGGTGGGGTGGGCGGGGTGGGTGGGTGGGGTGGGGTGGTGGTGGTGGTGTGGGGGGGGGGGGGCGTATTCTTCGTTGCCGAAAGACAAGCGGATAGGTTGGGGTTGGTTGTCGACGCTCGCAGGTCTAATCTTCGCTTTTGCTTGCCGCCAGGCGCGCGCGTCGCGGCGGCCGAGGGCTTGGCGAGGCTCGAGGTCGATCTCGCCGGTGTCGACCGCCTTTCTCGCGAGAGCGACGAATTCAGATTTAGCATCGGCACATCGTTCGTAAAAGATGCCTTCCACCTCGTCAAGATAGACCAGGGGCACTCTGTCTTCTTCGGCCTCCAGCCTGTCAGAGCCAGGGAAGTCCAGCTCGTCGGCAAGGAGGTGGGGGGGATACTTCTGGGTGCCGAGTCCTGGGGATCTCCTGCCCGTGGGGGCCTGGTCGCCTATTGCGTTTATGTAGAGAATCTTGGGGTGCTCGGATGGGGGGGGGCAAGGAAGTGTGCGACGCCTTGGCCGACGCCTCCGCCGCCCTGATTGCCGCTGGACTTGACGCCCACGGGGGCGACGTCCTCGCGGGCAGAGGGGGGGGGCCTTGGGGTGCATCCTGGACGGGGACAGTCTCTGCGCCGGCATCACTCCCAGGAGGTGCTGGGGGATGGGGCAAGCCCTCTCGTGGGCCCTTCTTTACGGGGCATTAGCAGGCCGCGCCTGGGAGATTCTTCTGGGGCGCTGTGCCTTCGTGGGTCTCTCTGACTGGGGCGCTCTGTGCGTCTTCAGCTCGCTCTACAAGTTCATTTAGGTGAACTATTTCAAGGTGGCGCCTCTCTGGGAGTCTTAGTCGCTATGAGGTCGAGGCATTCTTTGGTTTCGTGCCGCTCTTTCGCGGCGAGTGATGCCGGGGGGGGCATCTCGTCGCGTCGGTCGCCGACGCCCCCGAGCACGGCTTCGCTGTTAGCGTGAGTGAGTTCAGTGAGGGCGTCGTGGGCAAGATCGGTCGGGTCCAGGGGCATTCTCGTTTTAGATGGCGGGGCGCTCGGCCCGGGGCCACCTCTTCGCTGCCAGCAATATTGTGCTGGGCGCAGAGGGTCACTGGCGTCCTTTGGAGGATATTGAGACATTGGTGGCCCTCGCCCATGCCGTGTGGGGGTCGACCCCTCTTTTCTGAGCCCTCGAGATTCTTGTGAGCACCTGTGGGGCCCAGGGCCGTCGTCTGCTCATTCTGTCCGATGACATGTCCGTGGCCCTCTGTTTCGAGAGACGACGGTCCCGCGACTACGAGTATCTTGTTTGCGTCCGGCGGGCCGTGGCCGTCTGTCTGGCCATGAACGTGTAGATGCATGTGACATGGGTTCCCAGTGGGACCGAGGTTCAATATTTTCGGCTCAACATATGACGACAGCAAAACCGTGACTACTCAATTTGGTAACATAACAAGTTCGGTCACCATCATAATCTAGCCCAAGGATCAGAGCCAGTGCGACGACGAGATCATGGGCACCGATGGTTGTTTAACGGGGTCTTCTCGGATCTAGGTGACAATGGCCCGATGGAATTCGCTTCGAATTTAGATGTCAGTGAAAATGAAAGAAAGCATGAGGTCGACCAGAGGAGTGTGGACGAGGTGCCAGAATCCCCGTGCCGCGACTCTCTGGCTCAGGCACCTGGACCTGCAGGTCGCTTACAGGAAAGAGGCGCCCGCGATCCAGCTCGCTCCCAACGCCGCGCTGACGCGCGCAGAGTCGCGCGGGCCCTGCCGCCCGTCGTCGAAGCCGGCGAGCCGCCGGCGTCGGCCGTCCGAGGCAGGATAGCTCGACGAGGACAGCTTGGAAGGCGGCGTCCGAGACACAATTGTGGCTGAACCTTCCGACCGAAACGCGAGCCTGAAAGTCGAATCCCTGAGCATGCTTGCCTTCCCCGAGGTGCGGCGTCTCCCGAGATTCCTAAGTTGCTCGAGGGGCCTCCTGGACGCCCCCTTCCACCTGGCTTGGTCAGGCCGCGGGGCTGCGGGCCCTGGGCGCGGCGCAAGGGCATGATCCTTCTCCTCGCCAGTCGCATTCTGGACTGCGTCACCATCGCGGCGGCCCGCGATGTCAGGCCGTCCCTTGGCTGCCCAGCGCCGAAGAAGCCCAGGGCAGAGCCCCCTGAGAAGTCATGGTCCGAACCGACGGGCAAGGCAGCCGCTGCCCATCCTGGGCCACCAGACCGCCACCTCCCCAAGGGACATCTCCTTGGCCCTCAGTTCGTCAATATCGGCGGCGACCGCGTGGTCGGAGGAGAGGGCAGTTCATGGCCGACATCTTCAGTGGATGTGGCGTCGTGGGCCGGGCGGCCGTGCGTCGTGGCGTCCCTGTCCGCTGTCGCGACGCCAACATCAGTGCAAACCTCGACCTGTCTCTTCCATTTGTCTTCGCGGCTTTTCCGTAAGAGATAACCCGCAGGAAAGTGATCGCAGCATGCCTGACCGCCCCGTGCACAAGCTTCAGTGTCGCCAAGAACCGGACTTGCGTGGTGCGCTGTGCCAAGGAATCCTGGGGTGCGCCCGACCGTTCGAAATACATCAATGCGTGTTTCCTTGATTCAGCAAGCATACGTTCGAACTCGGGTGAATGATTCGGGGCTGTGGAGAACTGTCTGCCAGGCTCCCTCAGTCTTTTGGCTGCCAGAGTTCCAGCGTCAGCCACGACACATATGTGTCTCTTTTCTTTGCCGCTCTTCGATCGACAAATTTGCGATGCTTTGGAAAAGAGAGCAGGACAGTCTGCCACATGGATGTGCTCTGCACGGGATTGTTGCGACTGTCCGTTGGCACTTTTGCTCAAGTGTCCCTCACCTCCTCCTCTTTTGAGGGACTGTGAAGAACTGTCTGCCAGGCGCCTCCAGTCTTCTGGCTGCTGGACTTGCAGCGCCAGCCACGATGCATATGTGTTCCGTTTCTTGGCTGGTTGTCGATCGACAAATTTGTTGTTCTTTGGACAAGAGGGCAGTCTGCCACAGCATATACGTATATCGTGTATATACACATACACGTACATTCATTCATTCATTCATTCATTCATTCATGCACTCATTCATTCATTCATACATACGTACATACACGCATGTACACATATACTTGCATACATATGTATACACAAACAGACACATACATACATACACACATACACACATACATACATACATACATACATACACACATACAAACATACATACATACATACATACATACATACATACATACACACACATACATACATGCATACATACACACATACATACATACATACATACATACATGCATACATACATACATACATTCATACATACATACAAACGAACGTACGTGCGTACGTGTATACATACAGACATGCACACATACACATATACGTACATACATGCATGCGCATGCGTGCATACATATATACATATACATATACATATGGTGGTTCTACTGCCAGTAGCTTCTGTTCCGCCGAGCCTTCAGGCCCCGAGAGGCCACCCAGAGGCGGGGTCAGACCGGCACGACAGGTGGCATGGCATGTACCGCCTGCGGCCCCGCAGGAGGGCCACCTATGATAACTATTGCCTGGGCAACTTGGCCCCAGAGGGAAAACGCCTTCCAATGTCAAGTGATATTTCTGGCCCGATGATCCGGGCCATGTGCTCGTTGCGCAGGGCTCCTCATCCCTCCTCCCCCGCGTCCCTCCCCATTATTCCTCATCCCTCATTCCCGCCCTCCCTCCCTCCCTCTCCTCTCATTACATATTCCCTCCCTCCTCCTCATCTCTCCTTCACTTGTCTCTCTCCGCCTCCCTCGTCCCGCTTCCTGCTGCAATCCGTCATTGGAGCCCGAACTCGAAAAACATAATGCAATCCACACATTTCCCCAATCAGTGCTTGCCCCGGAGGGGTTCCTGGCGGAAGTTGAAAGATTTGGCGAAAGTTCCCCGCCGATTTTGGTAGCAGGCTGGGCTCCCGGGTTCCCGGTTCCGGGTTCCTGGGTTCCCGGTCATTGGTTCCGGGCCGATTTCGGTGGGTTCTGTCAGGAGCGAAAGAAGGACGTACACGTACATGAATTCACGCTGGTTTCGAGAGTTCGCATTGCGCGAATGTTCGTATCACGCGGCCGGTCTCGCGAGTCAAGGGGCCGTGTTCATGTACATAGCTGGGCGCGTACGTCCTTTGTGGGTTCCCTATTCTGGGTTCCTGGGCTCCCGGGTTCCCGGTCGATCTCCTCCGCGAAAACCATCCCCTGATTGGGGCTTCTCTCTGGTGTGATTATTCCCTCCCTGCTCATCTCTCCCTCGCTTGCCTCTCTCCGCCTTCCTCGCCCCGCGTCCTGCTGCAGTCAGCAACTGGAGCCCCAGCTTGAAAAACATCGTGGAGTCCATTTCTTTTTAATCGACCCCCTCCATTCATACCTGCTCCGATCGCTGGCGTGCCAGCGACTTCGCTTCCAGCTTCCCCAGCTGTGGCCCTTTGGTCTTCCTCCTCTCACTCCTCCCCCTGCTCTTCTTGGTCCTCCTCTTGGTCCTCCATCCCCCTCCCTCTTCTCCCCCTCCCCTCTTCCTCGCCCACGCTGCCGGCCTTGCCGCGGTTCCCGTAGTACTTGTGGCATGCATGCGTGCTCTTACCTTCCCTAATGCCCACCAACCGTCCAAGACTGATCTTGCTGCCCCCGAACTCGCCCCATGATTCCCAAGCAATTCCCCCGAATTCTCCCCAGGCTCAAGGCAGCCTGCGAAACTTCCAAGGCTATCCTGGAGTCATGCCAGACCGTTCGGCCGAACGCGTGTTACTACCGCAGGCTCCGCGGAAATTTCATCTCGCGTTACCGCAGCAGGCTCAGTTGATACTCCGTCTCGAATTCGAGTGCGCGCGAAAAGCGCGCACGCGATGGTTTTACTGTATAGAGATACAAACTATTGATTTGTATATGTGTATGTCTATGCATATGTCCAGGTATATGTCTATTTAGATGTGTGCACATATTTATATGTATATGTCTTTGCGTGTTTATCTGTATATGTATATGTCAATGTCTATGTTTATGTATACGTATTTGCAGGTGTATATGTGTATGTGTAGGTATTCGTTCTACGGGCGAATTTTGGTATACAATAAACTTTGTCGCTGTCGGGGGCCCCTGTTCCAGGGCGGCTGGAAAGTTCATACCCTTACGGTGCCACGTAGGGGTGTCAACTTTCCAGTCGCCCGGGGGCAGGCGTCCCCGACGGCGGAACAGTTTATTTCAGATCGTTCTTCGGTACTACTTCGTCTTTTTCATTTGTTTTGTATTTGCACGTGTATATGTATATGTATATGTATAGGTATATGCATATGTACGTGCAACTGCGTGTACATATATATATATATATAAGTATATCTATATATGTATATAGATGTACTTATTTTTCGCATTCGTAATTGCAAATGTATATGTATACGTTTATGTACATGCATCTGTAACTGTACACGTATACGTGTATGTACATGTATATGAACACGTGTATGTATATGTATATGTAGGTGTACGTGTCTAGTTTTGTAGATGTAGGCAAACACTTATGAGGACGTCAATGTATATGTATACGCATATGTATATGCTTACGTACATGTATATGTTATGCACACACCTATACATACATACATACATACACACATATATCTATATCTATATATATATATGTATAGCGTGTTATAGACATGCCAATTATGTTTGTGTATATGTAAACATGCATTTGTACGTATGTGGATGTGCTCATACATACGCATATGTATGTACATATGTGCATGTACATGTGTCTGTGCTGACATATGTATCTGCACGTGCATAGCTCTGTATATTTGTATATGTGCATGCAGGTGTATAAGTGTACGTGCATGTGTCTGTGTTGAATCGTCGTTCATGTGGTGCCAACAGTAACATTATGTGGTGCAGTGCAGTGGTGGTGCACCGTGCTGTGTGTGGGGCGACGCGGTCTCATTCAAGTGGCCCAGTGCCATGTGGTGCCGCGCATCGCACCGCTTCCCACCGTGCCCGACTAGGGCGCTCCGCGCCGGGCGTCGGCGACAACGCCTGCCGCCCGCTTCTGCCCGCCGAGAGTGCAGTGGTGCCGTGCAGTGGTGCTGTGCAGTGGTGCTGTGCAGTGGTGCCTTTTGGTGCCGCGTGGCGGTGACCTTGGCCCGATGCTGGACGCCCGCGTGCCACGCCCGCGGTGCTCGTTTGCGCTCTCCGTGCCCGATCTGTCATGCGTGGGGACGGTGCGGGGGCAGCGTCGGGGGGGGATCGGCCCGGAGGGGGCGACGCGTCGGCCCCAATGGTCCCCTCTGATCGCCGACAGGGGCCTGATGGCCCACCCCGCCAAGGAGCCTGCGGATTGGCAGTCGGGGGCCCGTCGCCGAGCTGTCGGCGATGTGTCGCCGATTCCATCTCGAGGTTTCCCCTCCCCCGAGCGGGTCCCCCCTCCTCCTCACATTGCCCCTCAGTCAGGGGGAGGAGGAGGAGGAGGAGGAGGAGGAGGAGGAGGAGGAGGAGGAGGAGGAGGAGGAGGAGGAGGGATACCGACTCCGTATCGTCAGGTGGTGCCTGCTTGCTGCCTGTTGGGCCCTCGCCCAGAGCGAGGGCGTGCGGATTCACCGGCTGGTGTCGGAGACGAACTGGCACAAGGTGGTCAAGGCGCATACCTCCCCGTCCCGCTCCGCCCCGCGCGCAGACCTTGCCTGCTGCCTGCCTGCCTGGATTCGACCAGGCACTCGCTGCATCAACCACTCGCAGAGGGGGGTAGAGGGAGGGGGAAACGCTCTGGTTGGTTCGGTTCGCTTCGCACGACGGTTCGGTCCAGCCGGTTCGGTTCGGCCAGGCCGGCTCGAGCGGTTCGCGTTGTGTTTTTTTCGGCGGGTTCGGTTCGACCTGTTCGATTCGGCCGGTGCGGCCAGTTCGCCCAGACGCATCGATGCAGACCAGATCCGATCCGATCTGATTTCGATGTCGACTTGCTGATCTCGGTCGGTCTCGAGATCTTGGGGGGGACCCCTCTCGAGGTCTCCCGTAATTATGGGGGAGTGGCGGCCCCCCCCCCATGCGTCCATGGTTCCTCTTGGAAGCCTCAGGGCCCTCGCTGTCGCTCGTTGGGGCCCTTTGGAGGCCCCTTGGGCTCTCTTGTGGGGCTCTCGGGCTCTCTCTCGGGGAGCCATCTTGGGCTGGGTGGCCACCGCGTTCGGCTCGGCTGGTTCGGTTCGGTTCGCGCAGCGGGCGGGTTCGGTTCGGTCGGTTCGGTTTGGCCTGCCGAGCTCGGCCGGTTCGGTTCGCGTCGCGGGCGGGCTCGGCTCGGCCAGTTCGGCTCGGCCTGCCGGCTCGGTCTCGGCCAGCTCGATTTTCTAGAGAGTGGTGTTCGCTTCTTGGTTCGGCTCGCGGTCCTGGTTTCGGTTGGTGGGGCACGGACAACGCCGTCCAGCACTGTCCCACTACAGTCAGCCCGCGTAGTAAGGTTACCCTTGCATCCTTCTCTTCGGCCCATCCTTGGCCGCTTTCGCTGGCCGCGCCCCGCTCGCAAAATGTTGACATGGCCTTCCAAGGCCCTTCCATCCCCACCGTGCGTCCTTACTATATTCGCAGGCCTCGGGGTTGACACCAACACCAATATCGGCGGTGTGCCTCCACCGAGGGAAGAAGATCCCGATCTCGGTGATGGTGGTAATATTCTGGCTTCCAAGGTGACCGAAAGATTACCACCAACACCGAAATCTAGTTGCATCTTCCCCCTGTGGAGGCACCCCCCCGAGTTGGTGTTGGTGCCCATTTCCAGGCCTCCAATATATGGGTTGACCATATCTCTTGCCCTCTCCCATCCCCGCCTCCAACCCCCATACTCCCCCGGCCTCGCTCTGGTTCTCCCTGCTGCTCCCCACCTCCCCCTCTCGAATGTGTTCGAATAGGGGATCGGCTACAACATTGAATTGCCCCAGATTGTTTTGCTCGTCGAATCTCTTGAGAAAGCGTATAGCGTTCGTACATCTACGAGCATTCAACGTTTCTTTCCGCAGATTCGACGGGCATTTCCATTTTGTGGTAAACCAATTCTGTAGTCGATCCTCTCTTCGAGTGATGGTGGTGTTTGTCGGCATCCCTCTTGATCTCTGCGGTTGGTGCTGTATATGCACGGCTGCAGCTGTGCACTTGCCCCGCCCTTCCCATGGGCCCGCGTTCGAGGTTTACGTGGTATAGCAGATACGGAATGACTCTGTGCCAGTTGCTGCTGCTCTCTTTGCCTCCGTCGCTGGCTTGTGGGCCTGCGGGACCCCCGCGTCCTTGCTGCTGCCCATGCAGCTCTTGTCCTCGACTATCTGTTCTCGGTACTGCGGCCCTTCATGTTCTGATGAGCGTCACTGGTGCGCTCCAGAATTGAGATCGATGGCCTACCTTTCCTGTCTCGTGTCCCGTGCTCTGATCTCCGCGTCCAGGGTAGAGTGGTGTGCGCGCCAGGAATCAATGGCCCTGCGTGCCCGATGGCCGTAGCTCCCCCCCCCACGTCACGTGCTTGGTGGTAGCGAAGTCGGCTGTCTGGCGTGATCCGTGTCACCTGGGCCACGTATGGCCTGCTCGATGCAAGCGAGTCAATTCGACGGTCCACCACACTCCGCTCTTGTGCTCACGTGCCACGCGCTGCGTTTCTCGCGACGTGCCTCGCGCCATACGCGGCCTGCGTGGGGAGAACGAAGTCGGTGGCCAGGTGCTCCCCAGGCGCCGAGCTCGCCTTGGATTCCTCTGCAGTGCGCGATGGTCAACGATGCCTGCTGCTCCCGGGGCCCCTGCCATCAAGCAGCCCGAGATCTCGATCGCGAGCCCGACCGCAGAGATTTGCACTCTGAGGCGCTGGCTGAGCACCACCGTGGGCTCCGGAAGGGGCTCCGGCCTTCGGGCCGCTCCCTGGACTTCGAGCCTGGAGCCCACACGTGGCCGGGGCTCGCCGTGGCCGGGAGCGCCCCGCCGCTCCCTCTTCGGCGCTCCTGGCAGCACGATGGCTGCACTGGGTCCGGCCCGACTGAGGATCACTTACCTTTCGAAAGGGGCTCGGGCGCTCCTTTGGTTTGCGCGTGTGCTCCTTCGGACTTCGTAGACTCACTTTGGGAAGAGAGGGGCTTCGTTCCCCGTTTGTGGTTCCTTAGGTCAGGCCGAATTCTGTGTACCTGGCCGAGGCTCGCCGTGGCCAGAAACGCCCCGTCATTCCTTCTTGGGCGCTCCGTATGGCAGCACGATGGCCGTGCTACCCGACGTGCCGCGCCAGCGTCCCGGTGCGACCCGTGATGGCCCGCCACGTGGCGAGCGGCCGCGCCGTGCTATCGGGGTCGGCGTCTGTCTCGGCTCGGCGGCGAGCGGGGGGCGGGGTGAGGAGGAGGCGGCCTTCTCAGAGGGCGGCGGGGCTTCTCAGCAGTCCTCTGGCCTCGTGAGAGGTTTTCTGTGTCTCCGGGGAAGGTTTTCGAGGAGGGGATCGACCACATGACTGAATCACCCCAAACGTATTATTCGCAAAATCAATTGGACACGGCGTATATTGATCGTACAGCTACGAGTATTCCACGTTTTTTGTTTGTGTAGATTCGACAGACATTTGAATTCTGGGGCGCATCAATTCTGTAGTCGATCTCCTACTCTCACCGGGCTTGTTCCACTGACCGCAGAGTGCCTACTCGCACATGTCCAACGACCAACTGCTGTTCGGTACACTGGAGCCTGTGTGCCCCGATGCAGCGGCTCCGGGCCGTCTGCGAGTGGCCAGCTTGCGAGCAGTGGAACGCGCTTGTCTGCTCGAGGCTCAGAGAACAGAACTTCTCAGAAGGCCCAGGACGCCCGAGCCTCCAGGCCCGCCCCTGCTCACTTCCCCCCCCGGGCTCGCCGCCCATGGGCCTGTCGGCACGAGCAGGGCCGGGGCGCTCGGTGCCTCGGTCCCCTCCGCAGGAGCTTGCGCGGTGGCTGTACGAGCTGCTGCAGCTGCTGACGAGGGAGCGGCCGGGCGTAGGGTGGGTGGAGGGGGGAGTCGCCCAGGCCCCCGACGTCATGGTTTTTCCATAGCGTGGACCCCCAGAGGCCCAGGCCCCTTCCCCTCCTCCTCCTCCTCCTTCTTCTCCTCCTTTAGCGAGGGGCAGGCATCCCAAGCGTCCTGGGGTTAACAGTCGAGACGGGGCCGTTGGCGATCCTCTAACTCCTTCCTCGTCGCCGTCCTTGTTAAAATCCTCCTCCTCCTCCTGCTCCTCCTGCTCCTCCTCCTCCTCCTTCCCCTTCCCCTCCCCCTCCCCCTCCTCCTCCTCCTCCCCCTCCTCCTCTTCCTCTTCCTCCTCCTCCTCCTCCTCCGCAATCAAGCTCGTTGACAGCATGGAGGTGCTGGGAGTTCTTCTGGACCATCGGGGCTCGAACGCGTGCAGCTTCGAGCATCGACAGCACAAGGGGGGAACATGCTTGTGGGCTCAGTCGGCGAATCCATTGAGTCAGGGAACGGCGGAAATTAAGTTTCGTGCGTGGTGCTCGGGACGTTCAGCTTCGATTGCCTATGGGTCAACCTCGTGGCATGCCACATCTTCGTTCGTGCTTGCAGCCGCACGCTGGGAATACAACTTCTTACGCTAAGCTCTGCGCCTCCACAGGAGGGCAAACGAGGGTTGCATGCATTACAACCAGCGCACAACGAGAATCATCGAATTCTGGGCTTGCCGCATCACATGCCGCCTACTTCATCACCGGATCTTTCATACGATTTTCCGTCAAGCTTGGGGGGAAGAGTATCGATTTTATCAAGCTGGGCAGAACCATCTTCAATCTTCACATCCTGAAGGAGAAATCGAGATTGTTGGGCAGGCACGCAGCAGGTCTCATGGCGATCCCGCCGAGATTTGGGTCTTATGCGCTCGGTCCCCTGGCACGACGCGGAATGCGAGGATGTCTTTGTGATGGTTCACGGTGCGCAGTGGAGGGCCTTCCGCGACCAGTTCGGCAACATGCGGGAATGGATTGCGAATGTCGAGGTCTTTGCCAACCAATCTTGCACCCGTCGGGGGTTGCCACTCTTGCCATGCAAGCCGTGTGGGGTCGGTGCAATGGCACCTGCCGACGAAAGCCGAAAGCTTCGTGGACACGTCCTCGATGACATTTCGGGGTCCCACGCCCAACGCGGGATGGACGTCGAGTTTCCGTGAGGGACGGAGCCGAGACGGGTGCTGTTCGTAGTGGGTTGCCAACCATTGCAGCGCATCGTTTGCGGACAATCCCCCTGCCTGGACCCATCAGCATCGCAGTTGGTGCGCCGCACTTCTAGATGGTCTCCACCGGGCATTTGGGCAGACCCTGTGCCGTGGCGTCGGAGGGGGTACAGCGTCATAGCGGACCACCTGAAAAGCTACACGATGGATGTGTTGAAGACGTGGCCTGTGGGCTTTGACTGGCCGTGCCCCGGGAATTCCCTACGGGAGGGCAGCATGACTGTCCATTCCGACGGTGGTGCGAGTGGCATCGCCTGCGCTGCGTCGGCGTGGATCGTGGAGGTCATATCTGGCATAAGGGAAGCACGCCCTTTGGCCATGGGGGGAACGTTCCGCAGCACATGGATTGACTCGTTCTGGTCTGAGGCGGCCGCGCTGGCTGTCTGCTCGACGTTCGCAAGAGAGTTTGTGATTCGTTGGTTCGCGCCGCACCGCCGACTCCCTGGGGCGGCAGCAAGAGTGAAAGACGGAGTTCGCGGAACGCGCGCGATCGCTGGGCAATCTTGGGTTTTCGGCCTGTCTTAAGAAGCGTGTGGGGTCCAAGGGGGGGCCTTGTAGGGGATTGTTGTGAAGTTTTTCGTGGTCTTATGTCGGTTTCTTGGGGCCTTCACGGGGCCTGTCCCAGGCTTCCTTTTCCACCCCCTGGATTGGCTCGGGGATCGTTGAGACCCAGCTGGGGGTGCGTCTGGCCAGAAGTTCGAGAGTGGATCCAGCTGTGTCGACGAGGAGCCCCCCGAAGGCGCAGAGGGGGCGGAGAGTGCACAGGAACTAGGAGTCTCATGCCTCGAGCCTCGATCCACCCCGTGTTCCTTCCTTTGCAAAGGGGAGGTGCCGGCCAGGGAGGTCGATCCTCGCCCCGGACCCTCGGTGGTGGTTCCGTGCACCGAAAACGGTTCCTGGCTGAGTTCGAGGAGATGCCTCGGGTGGTCGAAAGATTACGACAATCTGTGAGACATCGGCTCCGACGACGGAATCTTCTTCTTCTTCTTCTTCTTTCCTCTTCCTCCTCCTGTTCCTCCTCCTCGTCCTTCTCTTCGTCTTCTCGATCGAGGTAGATGCCCGCGGCAGTTCCGGCCGCCTTTCAATCCGCGGACCCGTAGCCCTGAGCGAGCGGACTTGTGCGAAGTAGCCCGTCGGACTCGGGAGGTTTGCTGTGATTGGGGGGGGTCTGGGCCCCTCCCTTGTCGCCGCGGCTGGATGCATTTGGGAAAACGATTGCGACTGGATTCTGGGAAGGGTCCGGGGGGCCCATGGTGAACGAATTCTGCGTGGGGATAAAGAATTTGTTGCAGAGTCTTGGTTTTTTCAAGTTTTTTCGTGGTTTTCTTCGTCGCCGCCTCTGGGTCCCGCGGTCATTCGGGGGCAGTGTGGATCCCTGTCAGGGTCTCTTGGGTGCGTTCAGGCGCCCTTTCATATTGTCTAGGGGCGAAGTGCTTGAACTCTCCATTCGGGTTTCCCTTCTCACCCCCCTCTCGGGGCCGTCCTGGGGCTCTCCCTGGTGGCTTCGGGGGCCCTGTTGGAACCAGTTTGTGCCGTCTGGGAGCCTTCTTGGGGGCATGCGGGGGCTTTTAGGTTGATTTGGGGGACTTTTTGGGCTGTTGTGGGACTCGTGAAAGCTCAAGAAGCGAATGTGTTAAACTTAGACGTTCCCTGTGGGAAAGGGGCCGAGGTTTGCGTCCTGGTGGCGTGTTGGGGCGTTCAGGGGGCTTCAGGGGTCAGCTGGAGGCAATGGCGGGCGTCTGGGAACGATCTCCTCACGAGTCGTACTTCGCGCTCTGAAGCTGTCGGGGGAGCGTTGCGGGACCTATTTTGGGATTTTTGAGGGGTCGTCCTGGGGCCGTCCTGGGTCGGTTTGGCGGCTTCTGGTGCCTTTTGGCGCCCATTTGGGCTGTCTTGGGGTCCTTTTGGGAGTTTTTTGTATCGTATTGGGTGGATCTGAAAGGCTTCTCGGGCTGTTGTGGGCCTCGTGAAAGCCGAAGAGGCGAACATGCTGGAAATGTATGCTGTCCATCAAAAAGCGTCTTGGGGGCCTGTAGGACCGCCGGGAGGCAATCTGGAGCGTCTTGGAGCGATCTCTCGACGACTCGTAGCCCTCGTGGGCTGTCGAGGAGGCCTTTGGGGACCCATTTCGCCCATTCAGGGGTCCTCTTGAGGCCGTCCTGCGGCTCTCCTGGACCGTTGCGGTTGTTTCTGGAGCCTTCGCGGGGCCCTCGCTGGCCGTTTTGGAGCCTTCTTGGGGGCCTCTTGGGTTATCTGGGGTCGCTCTTGGACGCTTCTTGGGCCGCTGTGGGCCTCGTGAAAGACCAAGAGGCGAGTGTGTTTTAAGTTTATGTTTTGTCCATCGGGAATGGGGCAATTTTTGTTTCTGGAGGGCGTCTTGGTGGCTTCTTGGGCGTCTTGGGGGCTTCTGGGGCCGTCTGGAGGCAATCCTCGGCGTTGCGGAACGATGCCTCGTCGACTCGTAGCTCTCTTGGAGCGTTCCGGGAGCTTTTCGGACCTTTTTGGTTCTGTTTGGGGCCCATTAAGGTTCCGAGTGTGCGGCCAGCACCTTTACCCTGCCCCCCCCCCCGTGGGGGAGCCCTTTCGGGCCGTCGGGGGAGCCCTTTGAGGCCGTCCTGGGGCCGTCCTCGGTGGCTGCGGGGGCCCTGGGCCGTCTGGGAGCCCTCTTAGAGGCATATGGGGTTTTCTTGAATTGATTTGGGGGCTTCTTGGGTCGCTGTGGACCTCGTGAAAGGCCAAGAAGCGAATGTGCTAAACTTGGACATTTCCCTTAAGGAACGGGCCGATGTTTGCTTCTGGGGGGCCTCTTGGGCCGCGTCCTGGTGGCGTGTTGGGGCGTGCAAGGGGTCTCAGGGGCCGCGTGAAAGGCCAAGAGGCGATCGTGTTGGAAATACGTGCTTTCCATCGAGAATGGGACGGCCGTTGCTTCTGGAAGGCTTCTTGGGACGCCTCTGGGTACATGTTGGACGACTTGGTGCACTGTTGAACGACTTGGGCCGACCAGGAGGCCTTTCAAGAACCCACTTGGCCCGTCTCGGGGCCCTCTTGGGACCGTCCTGCGGCTCTCCAGGGCCGTTGCTATGGTCTCTGGGGCCTTCGTGGTGCGCCCTGAGGCCGTCTTGGAACCCTCTTGAAAGCCTCTGGGGCTGTAGGGGGTCGATGTTGGATGCTTCTTGGGCCGTTGTAGGCCTCGTGAAAGCCGAAGTGGCGAATGTACTGTAAATGTATGTTTTCCTGAGGGAATGGGAATCTTTTTACTTCTGGAGGCTCTCGTGGAGCGCCTCGTGGGCGCGTTTTCAAACGTCCTGGGGGCCTATGGGGCCGTCTGCTGGCAATCTTGGACGGTTTGGACCGACTCGTCCCCCGCGTGGGCCTTCTGGGCAGCCTTTGGGGACCCTGTTGACCCGTTTTGGAGCCCTCTTGGGACTGTCCTGCGGCTCTCCTGGGCCGTTGCTATGGTTTCTGGAGCCTTCGTGGATCGTCTGGAAGCGTCGATTTTGGAGGCTCCGGAGGGTCGATTTTGGAGGCTTCTTGGGCCGTGAGGGCCGGCGTGGAAGCCCAAAAGGCGAATATGCTGAAAATATACGTTTTCCTCTGGCGGGCCTTCGCGGAGCGCCTCGTAGTACTTTCAAGCGGTCTGGAGGCAATTTTCGGCGTTTTGGAACGATCTTTCGTCGACTCGTAGCTCTCTTGGACCGTTCCAGGACCCTTTGGAACCTTCTTGGCCCGTTTTGGGGCTTCCTAGGCCGACAGCTTTGCCCCCCTCCCCCCCCCCCAAAACCGGCTGGACCGGGCCCCCGGTGGGGGGTTGGGGAGGGGGAAGCATCTCACACGCCGTGACCCCAAGGGGTCGGCGGATTAGGTGTGGTGTGTAACATAGTCTAGTTGCCTGCTAGCCTGGGTAGACGTCGAGTCGTAATCCAAGTCTAAGTCCAAGTCCAAGAAGGGGGGTGCTCGCCCTTGTATGTATGAGGGTGCGGGGCGTCTTCGGTTCTTTTCATCCACGCGCGTTTTCTTCACGACCAGGGGGAACCACAGCGCAACTGCCAGCTGCAGTCTTTTGCATTGCAGCAGTGGCGTGAGTTATCTTGCGTCTCGTCTGGATGCAATGATGACCGTGATTTTGAATACTGTTTCAAGAACCTGACTGACATGGTGGGACCACGATGGCAGGCGCCATGGCTGTTTCGCCACTTGTTGCACCACTCCAATCAGCTTTTTTTCTTGGACGGCCCCGATCTCGACAGCTCATTTGAAATTCTTGTCGCCGCATTGCTGAAGCGTGTCAAAGAATTTTCGAGAACCTTGTAAATTCGCAAAGCGGATCCAGGAATCGTCTGTGATTTTCCAGCAGAATTCTCATTGTCAAGCTGATTCGCCGCATTGGCTGTGGGCGCTCGAGCACCACAGTGACCGAGCAAGTTTTGCCAACAATTACCACAGCCAATGCCACGGCGCCCTGCAGTAGGGACGAGGCCACGCCAGTGGGGATCAGGGGCAACGATAGGGGCGGATAGGGATAGGGGGGATGCATCGACCCCCAATCGCCCATTGATCGCCGATAGGGGCCCAATAGCCCCACCCCGCCCAGGAAGGTGCGGACTCACTATCAGGCGCCTATCGCCGATCTATCGGCGATGTATCGCCGATTCCAGGTTGATGCATCCACCCCTATGCCTGTCCCCCCTTATCGTTGTCCCTCAGGGGATAGACATCGGTTCAACATTGGACAGTATTTGATGGTTCAGTGCAGAAGCTTCACGCCGGACGTGCTCGGAGGCTCGGCGAAGCAGGCAGCATTGTATTGACTATTTGATGCGACGTGTTCATGCGATCGAATGTGCAGTGCCAGAGACATGTTCCCAAGTGCGTCAAAGACTGTCACCCATCGGATGGGCCCCGTAAGGGACACGCCGATGAAAACCTTTTTCTTTTTCCCCCTCCTCCTCCAGGCGCCCAGGTCTGCTCCCCCTGCCGCCCTTCCCCTGCCGGCGCAAGCCGCTCGAGAGGAGCGCATCCGGTGGTTCCTGACGCAGATCGTTTACATTGCCTGGGGCATCGTGGCGGGGCGGAAAGGGCAGCGGGGCGGTGCAGGGGGCCGCTTCCTCCCGGAGGGGGGAGGGGTAGGGGTAGGGGTCAAGTTAGCCAGCTCGAGCGAGTCAAGCATGGTATGCCCATTCCCACCCGCCCTCCCACAACATACGAAACAGTGATGGCACAACTGGGGGCTGCGCGGGCATTTAAGTGCGAGTGGAGGATACCCCAGAACACCGCATTGACGTCCGCGCGGGATGTGCGCCGCGTCCCATTCCCGCCACGCATTTCGCATCGTCGACGACAAGACTGGCCATGTTGAAACGAACAACGGACACGTTCCGCCCTCCCACACCATAAGAAACAATGCTGGCGCAACTGGGTGCTGGCACGTAGTCGTAGTCGTAGTAGTAGTAGTAGTAGTAGTAGTAGTAGTAGTAGTAGTAGTAGTAGTAGTAGTAGTAGTAGTAGTAGTAGTAGTAGTAGTAGTAGTAGTAGTAGTCGTAGTCGTAGTAGTAGTAGAGTAGTAGTAGTAGTAGTAGTAGTAGTAGTAGTAGTAGTAGTAGTAGTAGTAGTAGTAGTAGTAGTAGTGTTAG